GCTAGCCTTGAGCTGAAGAGCTGAGGGACAGCGCCCAGGCCCAGAGCCCAGACTTTAGCATATTAATCAGCAAAAAAAATTTTCTCTAATTTTTCTGTAGTATTATTAGTGTTTTCAAAGTAAATATGAATACTTATATATATAATATTGTTATTATTGTGCTTACTTTGTCAATCGATATCTTCTTCATCTGTTTTTGTTTCTTCCTCCTTTAGTTTTTACTAGTTTTGCATAATGTTAGTTTATTTTTGAAAGAATGAACTTTTGAGGTTGTTAGTATTCTTTTAGTTTATTCTAATACTAACTTGCAAAGCTATACATTTTCCCTGAAGCACTATTATTGCTGGGTCCAAATGTGTGTGCATCTTATACATAAGATATTATATATATATATATATATATTTAAAATTACATATATATATAAAATTCCTTCAAACCATGAGTTTCACCAGTCTATTTGTGTATTATATATATAATTATAATTCCTTCAGATCATATGATTTTTGCAGTCTATTTGTGGTGTATGTGTGTGTTGAATGTGTGTGTATATGTATGTGTGTGTGTGTGTGTGTGTGTGTGTGTGTGTGTGAGCCAATCCCAGGGCTTGCACTCAAGGCCTGAGTACTGTCCCTGAGGTACTTTTGCTCAAGGATAGCACTCTATCACTTGAGTCACATGTCATTTCTGGATTTTTCTGAATAGTTTGTTGGAGATAAGAATCTCAGAGATTTTCTTGCACAGGCTGGCTTTGAACTGAGATCCTCAAATCTCAGGCTCCTGAGTAGCTAGATTTGTAAGCATGAGTCATCAGCACCCAGTTAGCAGTCTCTGTTTTAACATTTCTAAATATGACTGGGTTCTGGTAGCTCACACTTATAATCCTAGCTCCTCAGAAAGCTGATATCTGAGGACCATGTTTCAGAGCCAGCCTGGACTGGAAAATCCACGAGGCTCCAATTAACCATCAAAAACCTGAAAGTAGAGGTTTGGCTCAAATGGCAAAGCACTATTCTTGAGCTTTTTATCAGGGAGAGTGCCCAAAGCCTGAAAATCAAGCTCCAGGACAAGAACACAAAAGAATGTTTTTCTAGTTATAAAGAACATATTTTATTTGTCTTTTGGCTTAGAACTTCTATTTGAGTATTGTGGTGAGATATCATAATGTAATGGTGCTTGGAAACTCATTTGACTAAAAAGTACTGACACTTAACATCACCCTACCAGTTAACTAAAAGTAGGGTAAAAGCATTTCTACCTTTATTTTAGCTCTGCCTTCCTTGCTCTGAGCCATTCTCTTATTCAGTCACCTAGGATTCTGGAAACAGAACTGATTGATAAACATCTTTATAATAAGGGAGCTAAGCTACCTTAAAGCAACAAGTGGGAGCCGGGTGCTGGTGGCTCACGCCTGTAATCCTAGCTACTCAGGAGGCTGAGATCTGAGGATCACGGTTCAAAGCCAGCCTGGGCAGGAAAGACCGTGAGACTCCTATCTCCAATA